CATCTCTGTCTAGGAGTTCACAACCTCGGTGTGGATAGGCTTACTCAAACTAAAAAAACACTTTGTCTTGCTCTGGACAGCTAGTGTATCATATTGATGGATCCATTGTGCTCTTTCTTTGGATGACCAGTGAACTTTAGTTGACCATCCTCGCAGGTGACGTACAATTGCCCAGCACAGGGGCAGTAGACTTGGTTACCGGCGTGTTGTTTCCATGCCCAGTGTAAAATATCCTAAAATGCAACCTTTATGGGCTAACTCCAATTACCAGTTGGATTAACAAAATTTAAGAGAGCCTGACATGCTGTTCATCTGTTAATGCTGTTCGTGTATCTGTAGTAAATAGACTCCCATTCTTTAACATGTTTCTCTTCCTGCGTATTTCATTGGGTCGCCTATAAAGCACTGGCTATAGTAAAAGAGCTTGTAGTTCACAACATCGCATGTGAGTCAAAAACATCACGGTCCTGGATTTGGAATACAGTGAAGGTGGCGTGAAGCCTCTCATTTCCGCTCACAGTCCCAAGACATGCAGTTAAGCTGACTGCCTGTAGAGTGTGAGTAGGTGTATTTGCCCTGTATTTGCCCTGTGATAGGCTGGCACCCCACCCAGGGTGTACCCCCCGCCTAGTATCCGATGCTGCCTGGGATTGGCTCCAGGCCGCCCTGCCACTGCATCCAGGGTAAGCAGTTGGATGCATTGGTATGCAGGGAAAAAAACAATACTCACCCTGTAAAATTCCTTAACAAATATGGCCAAATTATCAAATGCATGCAAAAATATTTTATTTTCAAGAAATCTAAAATAATCACTCCGTATGGTCTAATAGATATGAGGATCAGATTCACAGATTTCCTCTTTAAAAAGACATGCATTTGTATCTAAAAGAAATGAATAAATCACTCATTTCATTTGATTTTCTGGACTGAAGGAGGAACATAGGAAACATGTAGTAAGTCTGGTGCAAATCATTTGGTTTTGTGTCATTATGTAGATATTAATGTTAATTTTGCTTATTTATCAAGACGGGTAATTGGCACAGGTTCATATCTTGTGTGGCTACTGGTGTAAGAATTCATGTAGTACATCTGTGAATTGAGGTCTACAGGTTACCGAAGCAATTTAGTGTATTGATGCGTAACATTTGAGGGGACACAGATAATATAGTATTATTGTATTACTTATTGAATTACTTATGATAATTAACCACAAACTAAGTGTGAGTTACAAACTGTTATCATGTTTATTACTATATCTGTTAATTCTGTAAACCTCTGTGAGCTACTGAAGGAACCACTGAATGTACGTTAATCAAACAGGCTAACTGCTTTACATAAATGTGCTGTCAGTTATAATCAAGACAAACAAATGGGAAAACATATACATACATTTATCAATAGCAACTTAATTGTTCAAGACAAGGACCCTCGGCATTTCATTTTTCATAGACGCAATTTGTATTGGATTTATGTCAAAATAGAATAACATCTGTTTCAGTTTTTTATGTACAACCCGATTTTGCAAGCTCAGGTATGTTTCTTCAAAACAGGTTCATAGAATTGGAATCCTGATATCTGTTTGAAATGTTGCATTGGCGTTGACACAATTCACAACAAATTATGTTGCTGTAAGGGTCAAGTATTTCCAGAGCTGAGAGAGTCTCCTGGCTCTTATGAGGCCTGGCCAGATATTAATCAAATTAATCAAACTTTATGTGTCACAATAAGGTTTCCCTCTGATTTTGCAGGCTTTTGGCTTCTCTTTACAATATTACATTGAATGACAAGGCCAGTAAAAAAAAATAAAAAATAGGAAATTGTAAAGATGACTGAAATTGCTAATTCTTTTTTAATTAATTGTTTCCAATGTCACGCTAGTCATGCTTTTTAAAAGATTTTTACATTCTTTAGCCAGTTGATCCATTTTTTGAATAGTAAGTCAGTTTTGCAATAGCTGTGGAAGCAACTGATACAATCCAGAAATTTTGACTCTTCTTTCTGAAAGGTTTATGTTGATCTGAAGGAAAAGCACAGACAATGCAGATGGCTTAGCATGTGAACAGAAAAATCCACGTTTGCGAAAAAGGAGAATGAGCCATGAGTAAACATTTCACAATACGGTCAGTGATACGCTAACACACATTTCTAACATGTGTGTCAATATGACCGCAAACCGCCTCCCCTTTCAACTGCAAGGCGTCACTGGGACGATACTGATGACGATGCGGGACACTTTCATGGGTGCGACACAGAGACTCGCCGTTGAGATGCTGAGTCAGCTCAGTGGTCGCATTTCTGTGACCACCACCCCTTGGGAAGAACAAAGATTCTGAGTGTAACAATGGTGCCCAGGGAAACAGCTACAGACTACCCTGAAAGAAAACCCACCATGTTTGATCCGAGACATTTTTTCTGATTTAGTCTGTCCCATGCACTTTTATTGCATTCCCACCTGCATTTAATTCATTTGTTTTTGCATGAACTCCCGAAAAGGCCCTGACTTTACTCCTCACAACTAACCAGAACTACTTTAATATAAAAAATATGGCAAAATCGAAACTGTATGGAATTATTAATTTTAAAAAGGAGTTGTTATAATTATATTCACGTTTTTTGATGAAAAGAAAAAAAAATGTAATCAGTGAAGAAATATGATTTTCAATACATAATTCACTATCAAGAACGATCATAGCAAGTGTCTTTTTATTCTTCCTGGACTGGTTGCCATTAGTAAATGTTTCTGTGTGTGTGTGTGTGTGTGTCCATCAGGAGGATTCCTTAGCAATTCACCCATAGAACAGTCAGAATGCACACAGTCACTCTAACTGTGCCCTTTGTCTGGCCCCCGGAAGAGCTGATTGACGTCTCAAAGTCTCTGCCGTCGAATGTCCTTTTACTCAGTCAGTGCGAGCATCAGGGAGCAGGTAGGACACACATCAAGGGGTCTTCCTTCCCCCCCCCACTCAAGGGAGCCCTCTGCACCATTAGCCAGGGGAAAATATTGACACTATTCCACCGTATATGACTTGAAAGCAGAAACGGACGGGTTTCTGCCTGACCTTTCAGCCGGCAGTCAATCTCTTACTTTGAGCTGGAGATTACTGAAGGTGCAGATTGTGCGGCTGGGTTACTGCAGACAGGAAGTGAAGAGCAGACCGAAACTGGAAAAGCGAGACTCCCGTGTTATGCAGAAGCTGCCAGGTGTTAACGGTTATCAAGCTTACTGTTGTAATTGCTTCCAGCATATTGGCCACCAGCTATGCGGAGAAGAGTCAGAGGCATTCGACAGCATGATCAGAACCCAGCACTGTAAATATCAGTTATATTAAGGATTTAATGCACGGACGTGCACGTTCTTTCCCATGCTGATTGCATTTTTTTTTACTTTCTGCATTCCTTGCTTTTTAAATAGAGAAAAGTGTCATACACAGTATTTCTGTGCTTTTTCTTTGAGTGAAAATTAAGATTTTGCTTAATTTATTTGAAAGCTGGTATTGAGTGAATATGCATAATGCATAATTAACATGGCTATAATGGGTTGTACCTTTTTATAAATAATTTTAATGCATTATAAAGGTATCTATAATGCATTATGATGACTGCTTTAAGTAAAGTGTTACCAGAAGATCTTCACCCTCAAAAATTAAAAAAAAATAATTTTCATTTGGTCAGGCAGAATCTTCACTGTGTATTTTTATTTCTTTATTTTATACACCTTTGTATCTACAGATAAAGCAAATCAATTGACAAAAAGGACGGCAGCAATGTCAAAATAGTTCCCCAAATGGAATTTGTCAGTGCAATAGAAATACAGGTATACAAGTTAGAAACAAAGGCATATACAAATAAAAGCCTGTCCTGAGGCAGACTCTCAGGAAGTATGACAAAACCTGAAGAATTTATTGAAAAGATGAGAAGGATATGTTTTTATACATATCAATATATTAAAGAAGAGAAACAAAACAGCTAAAAGTAGCTAACATTAGCCAAAATAATGGAACAGTGCAATTCCATTGTACACAGCATACATCGAACCAGCCCAGGACTGGCTGGTTGACATAAACGAGAGGACAGAAAGGATTCAGGAAACAGCTTCCTTTTCCATCACCCGTTGAGTCTCTGTGGTCTCTGGGCTCTAGTCCTCCCTGGGCTAATGAGCTGGTGGCTGATTGGTTGGCTGGTGGAGCTTTGCGCTCTGACTGCCGCGCCAGTCAGACAGGGCAGGATTGCCTAGGAGCCGCAAGTCCTTCCTGCTGATCTGTGAGCAGTGGCCAAGGTGTGTGTCTCAGTGTGTGTGTGTGTGTGAGTCTTTTTGTAATTATTATATTGTGGAGACCAGCCCCAAAGTTATAAAAACCTGGAAGTATTTACCTTGTGATGACATTTTTTTAATGCTCACAAGGATAACTAAAATTTTACAAAAATAAGTGCATGCAATCAAAAAAACCACAATAGCCAACAGTCTTTTAATTTGGTTACTTATGGTTAAGGTTAGGGCTGGGTAGGGGTTAAGGTCGTCATGTTGGGATTAGAGTCTCCCTCCTAGGAATGAATGGAGTCCCCACAAAAATATAATTACAAACGTGTGTGTGTGTGACTGCGTGCATTAATGAAAATCCCTCATCACAAGCAGCAATTTGATTCTGGAGAACTCCCAACAGAGTTCTGAAGACATAGGGTGCATAGAAAGGAAATTTAGTTATTTGCTGGTGAGCTAAACCACCCGTGTAGTCTTTTGATGGACTGGAATTCTTGTTAGGAAATGTTCAGCTACATCCTATTCTTCCAAGGAGATGGCGTAGATTATGGTGACCCTAACTGGTTAGGCACGTACTGAAAATGAATAGATGGATGAATCTATTTGTGTCTAGATGCATGAATTGCTTTTTAGAAAATAAACCAAAGCTCAGTGGTTGTGTGCCTGTTTGTGGTAGAATGGGGATGTATATTTCCCTGTGTGTGCAGTATGGCCATGTTCTGTATGCAGGTGTATGGGGGTCTTACTCCAGCTCAATGACCAGCTTGCCTTCATCGTCGCTGCTGCTGGAGTCGGGCCCTTCCTCGCGGACACTCGCTGCCGCCTTGCCAGGAGGCTCCTCTGTCCTGCCCAGGCCTTTCGCTCTGCCACAGGGAGGCGTGAGGCAGAATGCTGGGCTGGTTTGTGAGCGGATCAGCGGGGACCGTCTGGGTCCCGGCTGGCTGGGTGCTGAGTCGGCGAGTTTGGGCTGCGCAGGGGTCTGACCCGGACCCTGCAGGCATCTCTGGCTCAGATCCCCAGGCTTGTCTTGTGCTGATGTTCTCAGCTCCTCCAGTTGAAGCCCCTCCTCTGGAGATTGGAGGCTCCTCTTGTTAAGGGAGTGTGAGGTGCTGGTTCTGTGCCCAGTGCTGCCCGCTTGGATCTCCTGCTCACCCAACAGCTGGGCAGGACTCACTGGATGGAGGCTCCGCATCGAGCTACAGGAAGAGGGACGAGAAACTTCGGCTGGAGGATCGGTTGGGGTCTGCAGGACCCGCTTCAGTTTCACCGGCTTGTTCAGTTTCTTGTAATTGTGGGCCTCTGCTTGGTCAGCGGACTGGGTCGTGCCATTTTTTACTGAGGTTGGAAATAAACCGAGTCTGCACATGGGAGTTAACTGTGATCCAGTCTCACCCTTCGCTGGAACCAGAAAGTTCGCTCGTGGGCAGCTCTCAGCGATGTGTGACAGCGCGGTCCCACTCTGACGCTTACGAAATCCACACGTCTCTGTCTTTTCAGGAGTTTGAAGGGTGTTCACCTCCTTG